AAGTCCTCTGTGATAAGAAATAATCACAGAGAAATAATCACAACTAAAAAATAGAGTTGAACATTAGTTAGTAAAAAGACATATATTAAATAACTTAATTTAAACGAAACATTTCCTATGAATATGTCATAGGTGGAGAAAGTACAATAACACATTTTCTTAGGCTCAATTGCCAGTCTGTTAATACTGAATTTAATACTCACCGTGTGTTACACTAAGGTACACTGTAATAATACATTTAAAATATATAATTCTATAACAGAAACCGTAGTTATAAAGTTCATTCATCTTGAGTATTTTCCTCGCTACATAGTATGTTCCTTGGATCGGTTAGTCACACCTTAATGGCCAAAGATTAACGACAATTTTACTGCCATGTGCAAAGTGTCAACGTTTGCACAGTCACATTTTGAAATAGGAACCGATATCGTGATACTTGAGACTGTATGCTCGTCAAACTGAACTATCGATGGTCGAAGGATTGGATCGTTTACAGGTGTGTCGTAGTAGCATCATCTATTCTCCCTTTTCACCCCTTTCGACCTGAGATAGGTCGATATACCTATGCTTGAATTTCACGAGGGACACCGTTTCAGGTCATGCGTGGCGTATAAATATTGTATATAAATAAGGACGGCCCGAAAGCGTATATTTATGGGAATTTTATGAAAATTCGATGCCGGAGGGGTTGGAAATCGGGACAGTGCGAGCATCGAAACCGTTAGCTATCGTTCACCATGCAAAATTTCCAATGGAAACTTTCACGTATACTCATATAAAGTACAAGATACATAATACATTTATTCGTAATTTCTTAAAAAGTACCGAACAGTCAAATGTACATCTCGCGAAAAATTGTCCAATAATCACGTTTATCAAAAATGATGAAATAACATAAATATCAGTCCCTCTTTGTTCATAATTATTCTTCAAGATAATTTACAAATTACCCACACAGCATCCTCCATGCATCACAGAGCAATGCTTGAATTCAATTATTACAGAATGTAAAGCATTCGAGTGGGACAGAAAACGGAAAACAAAGTTCACGACTCCTCGAGGATTCGTATATCGGGTAGCGTAAACGTCGCAGGTAGCGTGAGAAACGAAAGGATCATCGCCTTATGCTAATGAGCGAAGGAAAAACACCCTTAGGGAGTTTTCTCACGGGATCTCGCTGTCTAAGGAATATTAATAGGCTCCCCCCTTCCCGTCGTTCTTCGACACGAGGCCGAGCAAATTTCTCCGTCGAAGGGGTAAGGGGCTATGCTGGACCATCTGTGTACCTTCGAACTCCTGTTCTCGCCGCTGACGAACCTTCGTGTTCTCGGATTCCATTAGTATGCCCTCACCATTATAATATAATACGCGGTGGATCCGTCCTGGGTAATATTTATTCTAAGGGGAACAGGTAAAGGGTTGATGCTGCTGGAATTTATGAAAACTGCCGACGGTTTGTCGCGAATGCTCGACCGACTTATAATCCTGGCCTGGATTATTTTATGTTTGCCCTACAGAAAGTCGGACCGATGGAAATACGTGTTTGCGTATTCATGAGACTTCAGCTCGAGAATTAAATTTTTATTAAAGCGTTTCGCGTCACGGGAAGGGTTCTGGTACTCGAGGTTTACGATATTTGAGATTTTGATTTCAGAGAAATGGTTTTATTTGTTTCCTTTTGATAGGAGTTGCGATATTCTTGTTACAAATGCAAAGTACACGGCTCGGGGTGAATGTTGTTGCTGGGAGGATTAAAGGGAACGCAATATACATATATAAGAACATTTTATCGCACAATTTTATTTCTTTATAACGTCGCAATCATTTCGTGTCATATTTCAAGGAATAATTATAAAGTACACGGTATCCTGACGTGAGTTAAACAGCCATGGGCGATTCTAGGCAACAAAATAAATTGAAGATGTGTGAAGATATTCTCTCGTATTTAATTAAATCGATTGCAAAACTATTTGTCTTTCTCTAAAATTGTCTGTCTGTTGCAGCAATACTATTATTAAGACTGCTACAATTTTATATAAAATGAAAATAGTAATTAAGACACCTTAGTAATTCAAAACGAGGAGCAAACTAACTCATAAAACAGATGGCGGGGGTGTAAAACAAATACTGAAAATCAAAATCTTGTGGAGGATCGGCGTAAACGTGACTTTGGTTGAAACTAAGCATGTCGTTGCGCATCGCGGGATGAAATTCCATCGAGGAATCCGCGGCCAGTGCCCTTTTACTTTGGCCGGGCCATGGCTGCCCTCCTCCACGACATCATCCTTCTCGTCTTGATGCGATTATAATGAACGCTCGGTTTACCGATAAACTAACTCCGGAGGAAGAAACTGGGATCGGGCCCGGGACGAAAATAAAATGAAAAATAAAGCAAAAAACGGACACGAAACAAAAAAATAAAAAGTAAAAATAAAAAAGCACAGAGTCGAGCAATAATACCAGAGGGTCGGGGCGAGGCTGGAATACGTAATGCGCTAAGAGCGAAGCCCGAGCGCGTCTTGAACGGAGCATAAAATTGGATTTTCGGTCGGGATCGATTTGCAACAACGAGGAAAAAAAAACACGAATAAAAGAACGTGGAAAATAAAGATCTCGTTGGTGGTTGGTACCGCGATGGGGGAGAGATAGAATTATGCCTGCCGGACTCCACCGTGAACGGTTTAACTCTGTTGCTAATTTGAATTCATTTCGTGCGCAGTATCATGCGCATCGCGTCGAGGACCGAGAAAATTGCTACCCTCAGTCCGTTGCTTCGGTCGTGCTTTCACGCACGAGACGAAAGTCCTTTTGCTCTTGGCGGTCGTAAACGGGATCCTCAAAAGTGTCGTGTATCGTGTTCCAGGTCTTTGGAGAAAAAGAATCGCGAAATGTTAATTCATGACGTTGTCTAGGGGTCGAGAGGGTGTCAATTTTGATTTGGGTATTTTCGTGAAGATTTTAGAAATGGCAAAATCTATAAATAGAGTTAGAATTCCAGTAGATTTATTTATTATATTTTATATTGCTTCTATTTCCTGAATCTAAATTTGCATTGATACGCTCTTCTAACGTAATACCTTCTATATGAACCGTTCATGGCACAAATCGATTAACTCCACGAAACAAAAAGTTGAAAAATGCGATGAAATAATGAACATTGTTTTTTTAAAATTCCCTCTATAACATAAATTCAAATGAATATTGTAGAATTCATAAATATAGATTTAGCTTTCATCTAACGGTATCAAAAATTAATGATAAAGAATAGGCAAAAAATAATCGTCAGTAATGTTACAATTTTTATGTGACTGGTGGCGTTAATCGATTTGTGCAATGAACGTGTGCATAAATTGTGAAATTGCGTAGACAGGAATTTATTTATTTTCAACGTTTCAGTTCTCTTCCTTGTATTTAAATACAATTCAAACATAAAGTAAGGCACTATTTCGCTAAAAGTAAGTAAAAGTTACCATGAAATAATAGCACTCGTTACTTATACCATCGTTTTAACTACCGATTTACTTTACACCAATAGAGGCCATAGACCCGACGATTTATTCTTCACTTACTCGCAACGACACCGATAGCACTATCACTGTCAAACCGCCATGCATCACTTACGCGACAGGTTGCACTCCATATTTTACACTAATCGTTCGACCAGTATCGACAGCAGTCGGCATTATTACTGCACAAAAGGTCATTACGAAATGCGGCCCCTGTCATGATCCTAACTCGTCTCGAAATATGAATCCGGTATTCGCGAATATTACACGTCCTGTCTAATTTGCCTCGATATCGATTACGTTCAGTAACGAGACTCGAAGAGGCCCAAGGCGTGTAATTTTTGCAGGCGTCGTTAGCGATCGAATTGCGCGCACGACCATAAACGACATCCGCGGGCTTTTTAAATCGTCCCCCGTCGGAGGCGAGTTTTCACTTCAAGTACACGTTGTCTCTGTGATTCGCTAAAGTTGAGTCACGAAATCGTCATGATTGATACCCAGGCTCGGAATAACAATAATTATTATTATTAAGCGGGAGCGTACGGCGAAACCGCACGCTCATTTCCTGCGCCTCGGGAACGAAGGAACCGAATTATTGCTTCGGCTGACACAGAACAACAAGCAATGGGAAAAAGTTTCACGAGCCTTCGACAAAGAGTACCGAAAATTCATCCCACGATTTCACTGGTCAGTTGGTCCACTTTTCGTTCGTTTGCAAAACGATTCATGGTTCATTTGTAGCAGATTGTCCTAAGGTTTATCGTATGTACTTGGATGAGAGAGGATTTGTAGGAGCCGAGCTGGACACAATTAATGTGGTTTCATTATTTAGTAGATTATTGTAATGTTTACTGTATGTTCTTGGATGAGAAAGGGCTGGTAGAACCACAAATGGGTAAAATTGAAATAGTTTAATTATTTAGTGGAACACGTGAAATTATAGAGTGTAATACTACAATTTTCTGAGAGATCGCTAATACGTGTAATCAATACGAATACATTATACCAAGAAAAATAAAATTGCATGACAATCATAGTAATAAACCAATCGTTCTATTGTTTTAAAGAGATCAGGTTTAGTATTTAATACATAATAAAGCAGTTGGTTCATTATGTTGCAAAAATTGATCCTAATGTAGAAGAAGCTCTCTGTTTGTTTAATAAAATATTCATAGGAATCCGGGCGAAAAAAACGTCGAAAATCCGTGATACAATTTCACTGGTCGGTTGGCCAACTTGACGCGCGTTTGCCAGCCGCTCGTTGTTTTTTTTATCTTTCATCCTAATTATTTTTTTGCCAGCTCGGTATCGAGTGCGCTCGTAATACGAGAAATTCGCTGACTGAGCGTTTGAATGCCGTTTCGCGGTGAAAATGGGGGAGAACGCGTAACGAATTCCTCCCCGTTTTATTTTTTCGTTTCGTGTAAAAATATATACTCGATGAAATAAAACGACACTCATACTGATCCAAGTTTTTTTCTTTGTTTGTTACAGGTGCGAAGCTCGATAGGAAGTGTGCGTGTTTCTTAGTGGCGATCCGGTAAGAAATTCCGCGAGACGGACCGAAAATCACATTTCCAGGTGGAGTAAAGTGATTGGGTAAATTAAAAACTATTTTCCTTAAACGTATAGATAGATGGAAACGGAAGTATGACTTCATTAGAAGGTGACTCGCGTAATAATTGGATAAATAAGCGAAGCTAGGTAACTGAAGCAATAGTGATTAGCATAGTAGCGGGATTATAATTGTTCGAGTTAGGTGTTCCTTTAGAATCGTTTGAATCACAAGAGTAAACTAGTATTTGAATTGGAGAGTTAAGAAATGGTTGAAACAAATCAGTTTACTCGTGACTGATCGACAATGTGTTAAACAATGAATTATAAAGTACCATAGAACTACTTCGGCCTTATCTAAATAAAAGAAATTTAAAATGGTAAACTGTTTTCTTCGAAGCATAAACCGAATGCTCGGAGTCTTCGTCACGACACTCGCCTCCTGCATCATCTTCGGAGTCCCCGGCGATCCTCTCGAATTCGGTTGTTCGCCGCGAAGGTATTAGCACGGGTCGTAAAAAGAAAGGCTAAAAGAAAGTTCGAGGGAAGACAAGAACCAAGCGAAGAGAAGAGATTTTCGCGTCGAACGGCCACGGGGGTGATGGGGTGGGTTACGTCATCGAGTAGATTCGAGGCGCCGAAGAATTCAGCAAGACGATACGGCCCTGCCCTCGGTGGGCAGATAGGGTATAATCATGGCGAGTTTCGTATCTCGAAAGGGGCACACGGGAAGATGGTCCAACATCTGCCGCTGCAGGGAATCTCTGCCCACATGCTGGCCGATCCGTACACGCACGTACGCACGCACACGCGCAAAAAGTGACATAGCTACACGCTGGGACGTCATGTAAATTCATTCGAAACACATGGCAGGGACGAGCGGCGTTCCTCTCTTTCTCTCTCTCATGCTCGAAAAAGGGTTCTTCGATGGAGGAATCCGAGGAACTGCGGGCACGCGGGGCGGGCCGGGGGGTCGGGGTAAAAAAGGCAGATGATAACTTTGACTTACAAGCTAGACTTCGACTTCTCTTCGTACGGGTTCGAGGGACGTAGGACCGGACCACCGGCTCGAATAGCACTCTTGGTTACTCTACAGATTCTTTCTTTCTCCCAGATAACGCTGAGGCTTCTTTTCTGGGCTTTAAAATCATTTCTCAGATGGGAAAGATTCGATGACGATAGGGAATGCCTAAAATTGCCCTTCTGGGAAGGCAGGAGGTTGGAATACCTGATATACTGACGACTTCGTTAATTGGTTGATTGTTTCTAAAATGATACTTTTTCGATAGCAACTGCTGGTAATTGTTTCATATCCATTGCAGTCGAGTGATACAAACTGCTTTTTGTAACGATATATAATTTTTGTAGATACAATTACGGTGTACAGTTAGCTGAATGATATTTATACTCTTTGCAAATACCTGATTTCTATTGTAATTTGCACTTTGGCTAATATTAGTATTTAATATTGAATTTGGGTCTGATATTCAAGGAACTATAATATATATTGAACATATTAATATATTATATAAAAGTATATGAATGTAGTTTCAAAGTACTATCAAGATACATGTACCAACAAAGAACTTGAAGAATGTTATTTAAAAATAGTTTGATTAAAAATTCAAGCTTTTAGTCTATGTCAAATATCTCTGTTATCGTTGATAATGTAAAAAAGTTTGTACAAGAAACGTTATTGCTAATTATGTTTCGAAACGTTTTTGTTGGGTTTACATTTTCGATAGAATCGATATTATTTGAGATACCAATCAAATTACACCTACGTTAATAATCTATAAGGTTCGGTAGCAACACGAAAAAAAAGCGAACACAATGAAACAACTTAGGTACATGAGGTAGTATAACATAAAACCAGCACATTTGATTACCGTTTTGGTATATTGCTCTATGCTGACGTCAAGGATTATATCAGTGCTAGATTCCATAAGATAATCACCGTGTACAGTGCCCACGGTTTTTCCCTTTGCGTGTACAGTTTGATGTGTCTGTCATTTTTGAACAATCGTTTCTGTATTCTTATGTTACGTGTCATATTAACAGTATTCTTTAAGGTTGTTTGAATGTCTAAATTATTGACCACTCAAATTATCTATAATAAAAGGAAGAACCACTCAAGTATAACTCGACGTTATAAGGTAATGGCTTAAACAAAGATATAAGGAATGATCATCATCATCAATCCACTTTTTGCATTTTTTTCACCACTGATTAGTTTCGATGCACTCTCCACCGATTGTTAGAGACGTTCGACTGAAAATTTTCTACTAGGCAAACCCAAGAATGCGTTACACGTTAATCAGAACCAAGTTCAGTCGGATTCAGCTCATTAACGAATTACAGTTATAAAACTAGCGGCACTCGATGCTATTTTCTTCGTTAGGGGCGATCGTTAGATTATGGAGGACTACAGTTACTCTCCAATCTGACGAAAGAGAAATTTATTATCGTTGCCTTGCGAAATTTCTGAAATTATTGGCACGGATCACGTGAACAATCTTCTACGAGAATCTGTGGGTTCGTTCCGATTTCGTTAATTGGTTGATTATTTCTAAAATGATACTTTTTCTCTAGCAGCTGCTTGTAATTGTTTCATATCCTTTGCAGTCGAATGATACAAATTGCCATTCGTAATGATATGATATGATGAATTTTTTAGATACAATTACATTGTACAGTTAACCGAATGATATTTATACTCTTTGCAAATACCTGATTTCTATTGTAATTT